CATAAAGAAAGTCTTAACGATGCAAATTTCAAGTTGGATTTAAAACTATTTGGACCTGGTAACCCAAGCGAGGAGTCACTTTCTTTTTTCTTTTTCTTATTCCCTGAAGCAAAATATTTAAGTTGATCAAAATATTTAAGTTTTTCCTTTACCCTTATTTATTCATCAGAATTTGTTGTTCTTATCTTGGTTTTAGAACTAAATAAAGAGTTCAAAGATAAGAGAAAGAAACATTACAATGAGTATTCCAAAGTTAAACTTGCAAGGAAACTTATAGAACAAGAGTTGAAAGATCTAGAAGATGCAGATGACTCTGTAGCAAACAACACTAAAGAAGGACCAAGCTCCTCGCAAGATGCTGCTGATACGCAGGTAATAAAAAGCATCTGTTGTAACAATCAAACCAGTTGGAGCTTTCCATGTGACAAATAGTGGTTCTGATTCTTTCAATTGGTCAAATTTTGAACGTTAAACTGACTAATTAATCTAATCATGATACTGAGACCTTTGTGGTGACTGATGTTGATCACTGAAATGCCCAATTACAGTCAAACCTCCTGTTAATGACCAACCAGAAATGTGAAGCCTGGGTGCTTGCCCCTGTGGAAATCCCATATGGAAAAGTTGGGGATTTTGGTTGTCTCGCTTAGGGGTGTAAATCACAGATTTTTGTCTCACTATAAGGGGGTTCAGGACAAAACGACACTATGTTTAGCTGTCAAAGTATATTTTAGAGTGAACTTGAAGAAATAATAAAAATACTGTCATTTCCATTTTAAGTGGTATCTCTTAAGGGTCAAAAAAGCTCAAGCCATGCCTAGATTGGTCTCCTTTAGGGGCTCAATAATAAAAATTTCCCAACAAGCTTCCACGACCTTTTCATAAGGGAGTGCCTTCCCTCCCCCCCTGGGGGTGGTTGTGTGTAAGTCATAGCCTGTGACAGTGAGCCATACATATATAGATCAATCTATGAACACATCCAAGCACACTTCTACGATAACTGTAGAAATTCTTGTGCGCTTATTGGCTAATTTTCATTGTCAATATGCGGACTGACACATGAATTCATAATTTATGTGATGTATCAACAAGCAAGAGTGGACAATTTGTTACTGTGAAAAACAAGTTGACATCAGTTTTTCATGTGTCTGTCCTGTTATTGACAATGAATTTTGAATTTTGTCATAACATTGTCAAAGTAGTCTGTGGATCCACAGCTACTTTGACAATGTTATGATGACATTCATGATCAATAACAGGACATATGCATGAAAAACTGATGTCAATTTGTAAATTTTGATTGTTCAATGAGATTAACCTTTGAAGTTACCTATGAAGTTGAAGTTGAGTCATTCAATATTTCATCCTTTTGATTTTCATTTTAGCAGTGGAGCTTCTAAACACTGATTTTGCCATGTATTTCCCCAGATGTCTTAATTATTTTCTTTTTAGTGTAAATTTTCTCTAAAATAGCAGCATTTTACCAGATGTTCAATGTCCTTTTCATTTTGTTCCCTTTTCAGATGGATGAGACATAAGGAAGGCTAATAAGTGAATACATGTCATGTTTTTATTGTAATAAATTGCTAAAACAATGTTGTTTGGTCAGATACTGTACACTGGAGAAGAAATTAACAGCAGATTGTAAACAAATGTACATAAAAATGTATTAACATAGCAGATTATATCAAGAAAGAGTACCTCTAGCAAACAGTTTACACAGCACAATGCAAAACACTGATTCCACTCAAATTAAAAGTTAGAGCGACAACAAACATTGAAACAGTTATTTGTAAACTAATGAACTCTGTCAAGTATATAATATATGCTTACAATCAGTGGAACACAGTCATGTTTCTATCCAAATAATTAACCTTGAATTCACTCGGATAGCACGAACGGACAAATTCAGTCTCAGGGAATTCAGTCTTGCTCGCGCTCACCCTCAACAGGAACTCAGTGTATTCTGCTGCTGTTTAATGTAGCATGGTCGCATTGTTTCAAATGATAGCATAATGATGATTTTACAGTTAGCTAGTAGATGTTCACTTTGAAATCACTTTGAAATGCAAAATAACTATAAAGAATAAAAACCTCAGTTTATACACCTCAGGATTGTGTGGGTCTGCCAATTGGGGGAGTGAAATTTATGTTACAACAGACTGCTGTACATGATCTTAATTGGATCAGTCTTTAGACAGTGTTGAAATGGAGTTTTCTTCCTCCTCTAGGGAACACCTGTAGTCATGACAACTTTTGAGGAATACATTTGAGTAACAGCTGGTTTTTTCTACTCTGTTAAATTTTAAAGGCAGCCTTGATGTGTTTATGAAAGCTAAGAGCAAGATTCAGTGATATTTTGAAAGTGATCAAGATAAAGGACAATGTGCTCTTGAAAATAAGAGAAAACATGCCCATTATGACCAAGCTCAATCACTATGTTAATGTTACTTTCTGTTCTGTTCTTGGACAAGATGGTGGGCTTTATTCATACAGTGCTTCCCTATACTCAGGGCAGGGGTGAGGAGGACTCAAACAATGACCTGTTACGGAAACCTGATCAAATGCCGGGAGGGGGGAACTTATAATAATAATATCGGTTATAATGATAATAATAATAAT